TTTCCTTCTTTTCTACCATAGTTTACTGTTTTTTTGAAAAAAAGTTTGTTGTGATTTTGGTACAAGGGATCGTCAGGGTTACTGTGTTATAATATTATAAGCTTATGCAATTGTAATACTTTAATAATTATAATTATACTATATTACATATTATATTGATAACATATATAGCTATATATATTTATAAATTTTTTTTTTAAATTAAGTCTACTAAAATGCTAGATATCGATGAAAAAAACTACCAAATGTTCCTTCTTTTGATAAAACTAAATATTAATATCTGATATCTAAATAACCATTAAATAAAAATAGTACTATATTAAATGAAGATATAGAAATATTATATTTTAATCTAAATTTATTTTGGATATTTTTTATAGCATTATCTAATTTTATTTATAATTATTTATAGCCAATTCTTCATCTATATTTCCAAATTCTTTAGCATCTTATAGCAATTCGATCTCAACAACAATACCAACATCATATTTAATAACTATTCATACCAAAAAAAAAATCTCCATTTAAATCGAATATACATATTACTCAAGATATAACTTTTCAAAATCTACTTGACTATATATTTCCTAAAAGACCACTAACTGGAAAATGATTTATTATTAAATTGTTATTAGATCATGATAGTAAAAATTTTTTATCAGAACTGGTTATACACAAATTATTTATAGATAGACACATTGATATTTGGATAGATCTAAAAGGTGTTAACATAAAATTCAATGATTTATTTGATTAATTAAATTTATAGTTGTATGTATTCATCTTTTATATATATATTATTAGCAGTATAAATTTTTTCACACAAAAAACTATTAAAATTTTGTGTTATATTTAAGGTCAATCAAGCATATATATATAAATTTATTATAATTAGTTTTAATATATATATAAGATAAGCAAATATTTAATTGATACGTATATAGTATAAATTTAAAAAAAAACATAAAAATGCTTAAATTAGATATTTTATTATAAAGTGTACAATATTTTCAAACCTGATTAATTGTGAATATGCATGTATAAATAATAATAAATAATTATATATTTGATCAAAAATACAAATTTATATAAACATAAAATATATAACTATACACTTTTGTTTTTAGTATATATATGTATTATATTTAAATTTTTAATTTATTACTGTTATAGTAATTATTGAATATATCCCAAGTGCTAATAACATGCACATGCTAATTGTTTATCAATTAACATACAAACTAGATCTAAAGTATCAAAGGGATTTTTAACTAACTTTGTCCAAATTTTATTTTGGTGTAAATAATTTTTTATATAAAAAAAAACTTGCTCGATCTACAATAAAAATATACAATGAGTAATACAAAGTAAAAACCTGTAAACTATTTCACTCACTACATGTTATCTACTCTATAAGAATGATAATGAGTGAAATAATTTATAGGTTTTCCCTTTTCATCACTCAAATATAAAATAAATTATTAAATTATTATATAATATAAATTACTATATATACAGTATATACAGTATATAATTACCGGATTGAAGTCTGGTAAGTAGGCTGGTAAAAATTCCAATCAAACTCCATTTTCTTCACAAAGATCCCGTAGATATTGACTTTTGTGTATAGATGCATTGTCTAATATCAATACACTATATTGTTCAGGAAATAGATTTATCTTTGGTAGCTATAAATTTATTAACATTAATTGATGCTATATATATTACATATATATTAAGTTTTAATAAAAGAATTCTTACTAAAACATGTTCAATAAAATTTTCATAATCAATAGAATTCTTAGAACCTTCTTAAATGCAATATGCTAAAAGACTATTAATACATAATGCGCCTTCTATTGTGAATCATCTTCTTTAAACAAAAAATACATACTTTTGAACACACAATCCTGAAAAATTTCAGCCATAATGGCATGATAAAGTTCTTCTGTCATAAGCAGTTTCATCTGAGAAAATTAACTGACTTGGTGTATACTGAGACATTTGTAAAATAAAATTGTTTCTGTCATCTTAATTTCTTTCTTTCACAAGTTTTGAAAGCTATATATAAAGTTAAAATTTTGATTAATTTATAAAATAAAAAACATATATATAACTATATGAAATATATAAAATATTACTTTTTATGTGTATATCCAAGTCGGTGTATTATCTTCAAATTGTCATAAGGCTAATATTATGTCCCAACCAAAGTTCCATTTCAGATTGTAATTTATATGTATACCAGTCAGATTTTTCTTTCATTAATACTTTAAGATATTTTATATCATTTGTGTTTAGTGAACGTGGTTTTCCTGAAAGTTTTTTAACACATTCATATTTTTGAAAGTGTTTTAGAATCTGGCTTATAGAAGATATACTAACATTTAAGTGTTTGGCAATTTTTCGAAAAGATAGGCCTTCTAAATTTTTTTTAATAATTTTCTAGCAAAGTTGCTTTGAAAGTATCATATTCTATGTACAACCAAGAATTTAGTATTTGTATAATATTTATATTGGTCACTCGATCTTAAATTACGTAATATATCAATTTTATTGAATCTATCATGCCCGAAATTAATAACTTAACCGGATCAGCCAGAAAATTATTCAGTCAATTTTTATCAGGTGTTCCAGGAATTATGAAAGTAGCAGTAAGTATATTTATTATCCGGGTGAGTTTTTTAAAAAAATCTATAAAAATTTTATATGTTTTTTATATAAAATTTTTTGAAAATAAAATTAAAAGCCGGGTTCACTTTTAAAAATTTTATGTTATGAAAACTGAATTATTAAGTTTGTATGGCCTTAGATACAAAATCTCGCGTAGGTTTTCAGAGAAACCGCAATTTGCCCATCTCTACATATGTGAACCAAATTTAGCCAATAGTTTTAAGCATTTCTCATATAATATAATATACGTTGTCATGATCTATTGCTATTGTGAACCGGGTATCTGCTGCGTAGTGATTGGACCCATTCAACCCGGGTGACCCATCGGGCTGACTCAGATAGACTGATGGGTATTCCCAGCTAGGGATGGGTTCAGTCAGTCACAGTCGGTCACGGTCAGTCATTACCAGTTATTGACGGTCAACCGGTTAACCGCGGTCAGTTATATAAAGTTAAATGACTGGTCATAACTAATCGATTATTTGGATTTTTGCTCTGTAAACTCTTCTTTGACTTCTAATAAAGTAGTCAAGGAAGAAATTTCAGCTATAATTATGGTTAAAAAATCAATATTGACCCAGTTGATAACGAGAAATGAGAATTTTAATTCTCACGACTATAC